GAAGGAGTAAAGATGAAGCGAGGCAGCTGATGGTAAAGTCAGGCAACGAAACTGTGTGCAAATGAAGCTGGTTGTAATCTTCGCCGCCGAGCTACTGCCGAAAAAACTGAGAAAATGCTACTCTCTCTCTTTTTGGTTTTTTTTTTTTTTTTTTTTTTTTTTTTTTTTTTTTTTTTTTTTTTTTTTTTTTTTTTTGTTTTTTTTTTTTTTTTTTGATGTTCTTGATGGTGATGAAGATCTATTCTTGATGCTGCTTTTTTATGTTGTTGAGATGCTGATTTTTTTTTTTTTTTTTTTTTTTTTTGTTGTTTTTGTTTTTTTTCTTTTGTGTTTTGTTTTTGTTTTTTTTTGTTTTGTTTTGTGTCTGTGTGATCGGGGATGTCCTTCCCTGACTACAATAAAATCAGTTTAGTTTTTGCACATCGAGGGCGTGACTGGCATATCACTTTGAACTTGAAAACATTTTTGTTTGATTGAATTTGAGAGTACTCGAATTTTGAACTCTGAATTGAACATTGATTCTATATTGACCTGAATCAAAGAATGACTTAACGAAAGAAGAGCGAAGCAAAAAAAAAATCCAAACACACTTATATACACGGACTGGTATGAATACACCGACTGGTATAAATATACTGACTGGTATGAAAGGAACACACTTATATACACTGACTGGTATGAATACCCTGATTGGTATGAATACACTAACTGGTATGAATACACACTTATATACACTAACTGGTATGAATACCTTGACTGGTATGAATACACACTCACATACACCGAGGAGTTGACTCGAGTGGTGGAGAAGACAGAATCTCTAACTCGACTATGCCCCTAATTCATTACCTTGAATTTTTTTTTTTATTTTTTTATTTTTTTTGATTTTTTTTTTCATAAAAATGTTTTGATCAACATGACAGTTAGATTAGCATACTTATTCCATTTTCTGTTTCAAATCATGTAAGCTAAACTGTGAGCACTGAAAATTTTCCCTTTTCAAATCCAAAGAATGGTCTAAGTTTTGCAAAAATGGAACAATTTTTGAGAAAAATTAGTCAGCTTCATTCAAATTAATCAAAACCTATTTTTGCAAATGGTCACTACTCAACTAACATGGAATCAACCATTGGGGTGCATAGTCCCAAACCAGATAATCAAAGGTGATATCTGAACCAAGCCAACCGAACCGAATGAAGTCGAGCAAAACTGGACCAGACCGAACCGAACCGCCAAATCGAATCGAACCGAACTGAACCAAGTTAAATCAAACCAATTGAACTGAGCAGAATGAAGATACACCAATCAAACACGGATAGGACAACCAAGTCGACTAAAGACACACCAAGCAAACATGGACGAGATGAATGAGTTGAAAAAATTATTAGGGCCGAACTTCAAGATGAAGCTACCTACGTATCCTCAAGATAGGAATCAGGCCATAGTAATTCCGGCTAAGGGTCACTCGGGTATTGACACTCTCCTTTTTTTTTTGATTTTTTTTTTCTGCTCTAAATTCTGCTTGGGTCGCCCTTCCAGGTTTTCAACCCAACGAGCCTCTCAAGGATGGTACTTTTATTTTAGCTTGTCCATGTTGATTGGGTGTGAAATCTCTAGGCCAATGACTGCTACACTTGACCAGTAGATATGATGATGTAGGGACTAGGCTAATTGGGTCTGAATTTGCCCCTAGTGTAATGGATAGGAACTCGACTGTCCTTCAATAATAAAGTTCATTCTCTCAAATTATGGGTTTTGCCTTTATGGGTGGTCTTCATTGGGAAACGATTCAGTTTTAACTCTTTGATCACATCCAACCTTTTGCCCCTAGTTCAAGGACTGCTTCAAATCTTAAATCACATCCGACCTTCTTGCCCCTGGTTCAAGGGCTGTTTCCAATCTGAATCACAGGCCCTGCATAGTTTTGGCTAAGGTTCACTCGGGTACTGACACTCTCCTTTTACGCTCTAACTTTTGCCAAAGCCGCCCTTTCGGGTTTTCCAACCTTGCGAGCTTTTCATTTTTCTTTTTATTTTTTTTTTATTTATTTATTTATTATTATTATTTTTTTTTTGTGCTCTAACTTTTGCCTAGGTCGCCCTTTCGGGTTTTCGGCCCAGCGAGCCTCTCAAGGGTGGTACCTTATTGCCCCTAGTTCAAGGGCTACCTCCATTTCAGCTATGCAAGCCTCATACTTTTGCCCCTAGTTCAAGGGCTGTTTCAAATCTGAATCACATTCGACCTTCTTGCCCCTAGTTGAAGGGCTGCCTCCATTTGAATCACATCATGGCCCCTAATTCAAGAGATATTTCCAATTCAGCTACGCAAGCCTTACACTTTGAATGATCATTGAATACTTCGAATTAAGGTTTGAAAGCTAAGGAGCTAAGGAGGTCGGACCTCGAGTCAAGAGGGATCCTATGATGTATAATCAATTCCAGGCATGTCTTTGTAGGACCACACAAAAACAATTTTTTGAAATCTTTTCACAAAGTGACTAATCACTCGTACTCTTACGAAGACAAGATAGAACCAATTTGGACCAAGTCAGGATCTTTCTCAGTACCCACATTAACAAAAATGATTTTATTCATCAAAGGCTTAGCACACCTCTCTTTCTCTCAGTTGATCAAAATTTGCAAATCCCGAGGAAATACTTCCTCTTTGTTTTTATCAGAGTTTTGGAAAAAGTTTTGAAAAACTTTGGTCAATGCTATGATTTAAAGGCACAGAGAAGTAGGCAGACTCTATGGCATTTTTTTTTTTGTTTATTGAAAAGAGACTATGACTCAACAATGGCAACAAACTTTTAACAACAGACTCAAAAGAAAATGACAAAGAAGACCTAGACAGGACAGAAATGTCTAGGTTAGCACTATCGAAATCAATAGACTGACTCTTTAGAATGACAAGAGTCTGATCCCAACTCTACAAACTTGGTGGAATCAAACTTAGACTGAATACTTAGTTCAGAACTCAAAATAAAACCATTCTCAAATTGCCTATCAACGTGTGGGCCATTCGCAATATTCAAAATAAAACCCGTCCAATCAACAGGTGGTCACTCCCCAATCACAGAGATGGTCGGATACCCCACAAGTTCTATTTATTTACAATGGTCGACTTTGTGGGATATTGGAGTTTTTTTTTTATTTTTTATTTTTATTTTGTTTTTTGATTTTTATGTTTTTGTTATATTTTTTTTTATTTATTTTTTTATTTTTATTTTGGAAGTAATGATGCTAAACTGAACATCCTGAACCACTCATTCAAATTTGAGAACCCCTGTATAGATCCAATACATTACACACAAAGCAGGAAAGAGAACAAACACCCCTAAAGAGGGTAGGGTTATCCTGTCCTAGCTTGGAATGATCTAGGGTTTCACTATTCACACAAGCGGTATCATACATCCTAGAAACGGGAAAGCATCCTGTCCTAATTTGAAAGGTACTATAGCTCACCATATGTACAAGGTTGGCTCTACTTTACGGGTTAAAGCCAAGGTGACGTTACCAAAGAGTCCTTTGGGTCATAACCAATAAAGATCCCAGGAAATCAGAAGAGTCAAATAGCCTCTCTTCGGAGTCTGAGAACCTTAGATAGCAAAGCTAGATAGCAGGGCTACATAGCAAAGCTACCCTTTTGACAAATCTCAAAAGGTTACAACACAAGGCCTCTAAAGTATCGTAAAAATAGGTGTAGTGTCACAAAAAGCTTACCTGTGCTCCCACCAGTATCTGGGCAACACAAGGACTTGAAGTGCACCAATGAATGCAATGCAATGAACATATAATTGAAATAAAGGTCATATCATGGAGTTCGAGTCAAGGTTTCATAAAATCCCCAGCAGAGTCGCCAGAAACTGTAACATGCCCGGGGGGTACCCGCGCGCGTTAAACAGTTCGGACCCCCGAGATCTCTTTGATCTATTCTCACGAGTGCAATGTGAAACATAGATGAGAGTCCAGATTTGGCAACTTTTATTGAAAATCCATTTTATTGCAATTTTGTAAAAAATGGACTGCGTCATCAGATCTCAGAGTCGCCACCTAATATTTATTTTGGGAAAATTAGAAAACCCATGACTCGTGCCAAGGCCACTGTTCGTCGTAACCAAGGATGCTTGGCTCGGAACCTTAGGTATGAGAGGGGAAGGTCAATAATGAGCACCCCCGCCCACCCGATCAAAGATCGGCCTTTACTAACCACGATATGAATTTTATTTTATTTATATGTTCATGTTCTGATTAGTTAATAAATCCTAAAATTTACTATGTGAAGCATACAAGTATAGACTATGCCATTCATTTTGGAACAATTTGATATCATGCATTTTGAAAGAGTTTTGACGATGTACAACCCAAATAAATTGAGTTTACAAGCATGAAAAATCAACATCATTCCAAATTAAGCGACACAACCTCCATCCACTGGCATTCATAGAGTTATATCACATAAGCAACTAGCCTCATGGTAGAATGCTAGACATAGTAAGAAAAATACACACACACGGGATGCTAAAGCATAAAAACTCACATGTTTGACGTCCCACGAACAAGCTGCAAAACAAAGTTAGTAAAATATGCATGATCTTATATACAAAATCCTAATGCAATTCACTCATGAGATGCAACTAAAGATTCGGCTTCTAAAATATGATATGTGAATCATCTCAAGAACATGAGGTAGCGCACATAATCACATAGGAATTGATTAAATCCACAAATGCAAACTTAGCCGAATCAAGATGCATGAAACATGGATGCAAAGCATAACTATGATGAAAAATAAATATGATGTTTATGTACAAATAAAGAAAGCAAGTAAAAGAACGGGATAGAAAGAAGAGGGGCGGGGAATTATTACAACATTTAAAGAATAATTACAAACCAAATTAGAGAGAGAGAAAAGAATATTACAACAAAATAAAAATCTCACAAACTCTCAAAATAAAAAATAAAATAAAATAAAGAAACTTCATGTGCGTCGGAAAATATTTTGCTTGACGTGGGAAGACTGCTCCATTCTGTTCGGGGAAACTTATTTTTGCGGGAGCACTATTCATCCCGAGATACTATTCACTGCCGGAAGTTACTATTCATCATGACAATTACTATTCACCTTTCTTGATCGTTATTCATCTTACCGGGCATTTTTCATCCGCTGTTACTATTCATCGCCGGAGGTACTATTCATCGATGGGGCTACTATTCATCGTCGGAGTTACTATTCACCGCCGGAAGTTACTATTTACCGCCGGAGGTTACTATTCACCACCGATCACTATTCATTTGGCGGGGTCACATCTTTTAACAAATTAGGTGGTTCGACCAACCATTTAAAGTGATAAAATTACAACAATTTATAAATAGTAAACTACAACATTTTATGTAAATTACAACAGTTTATATACAACAGTAAATTACAGCAGATAAAGTAGTAAAATTAGGTGGTTCAACCGACCATTTAAAGCGATAAAATTACAACAATTTATAAATAGTAAACTACAACATTTTATGTAAATTACAACAGTTTATATACAACAGTAAATTACAGCAGATAAAGTAGTAAAATTAGGTGGTTCAACCGACCATTTAAAGCGATAAAATTACAACAATTTATAAATAGTAAACTACAACATTTTATGTAAATTACAACAGTTTATATACAACAGTAAATTACAGCAGATAAAGTAGTAAAATTAGGTGGTTCAACCGACCATTTAAAGCGATAAAATTACAACAATTTATAAATAGTAAACTACAACATTTTATGTAAATTACAACAGTTTATATACAACAGTAAATTACAGCAGATAAAGTAGTAAAATTAGGTGGTTCAACCGACCATTTAAAGCGATAAAATTACAACAATTTATAAATAGTAAACTACAACATTTTATGTAAATTACAACAGTTTATATACAACAGTAAATTACAGCAGATAAAGTAGTAAAATTAGGTGGTTCAACCGACCATTTAAAGCGATAAAATTACAACAATTTATAAATAGTAAACTACAACATTTTATGTAAATTACAACAGTTTATATACAACAGTAAATTACAGCAGATAAAGTAGTAAAATTAGGTGGTTCAACCGACCATTTAAAGCGATAAAATTACAACAATTTATAAATAGTAAACTACAACATTTTATGTAAATTACAACAGTTTATATACAACAGTAAATTACAGCAGATAAAGTAGTAAAATTAGGTGGTTCAACCGACCATTTAAAGCGATAAAATTACAACAATTTATAAATAGTAAACTACAACATTTTATGTAAATTACAACAGTTTATATACAACAGTAAATTACAGCAGATAAAGTAGTAAAATTAGGTGGTTCAACCGACCATTTAAAGCGATAAAATTACAACAATTTATAAATAGTAAACTACAACATTTTATGTAAATTACAACAGTTTATATACAACCGTAAATTACAGCAGATAAAGTAGTAAAATTAGGTGGTTCAACCGACCATTTAAAGCGATAAAAAAAAGCATTCTGTCCTAATTTGAAAGGTACTATAGCTCACTATATGTACAAGGTTGGCTCTACTTTACGGGTTGAAGCCAAGGTGACGTTACCAAAGAGTCCTTTGGGTCATAACCAATAAAGATCCCAGGAAATCAGAAGAGTCAAATAGCCTCTCTTCGGAGTCTGAGAACCTTAGATAGCAAAGCTAGATAGCAAGGCTACATAGCAAAGCTACCCTTTTGACAAATCTCAAAAGGTTACAACACAAGGCCTCTAAAGTATCGTAAAATAGGTGTAGTGTCACAAAAAGCTTACCTGTGCTCCCACCAGTATCTGGGCAACACAAGGACTTGAAGTGCACCAATGAATGCAATGCAATGAACATATAATTGAAAATAAAAG